TCCACAGGACGCCCCAGTTCCGGTTTGGGTTCCAGCTCGATTGACTCGTTCCTGTCCATCACCGCCTTCTGACGTTTCTGCAACCGCTGGAACGCTTGCACGAGGCAACGGCTGCTAATCTTTCCTGCCAGCTTTCTTCTCACCTTTTAAGAAACTGGACGAGAGAATTTGATATTCTACAGTCTGACTTGTGAATTGCCATTGTCCAGATTAATTCTACACGGGTGGATCCTGTTGTTACTGAAACCCTGGCCACTTGGATTTGGAACATCACTTCCCATATTAAGGAATGGGTGGGAATGGTTGTGCTGATTCTGCTCTTATGTACAGGCTGTGCCTTATGCCTTTTTTGCCTGTGTCGTCTGAGATGCCGCGCTCAGCGAAAACGTGTGGCAATACATAAAGCCCTACTAGCCATGCAGAATGGTGACTCCCCCATGGTATGGTTGAGCATGCTTCAACAGGCTTAGTTAAGAGCATGGACATCATGGCTCCTGCACCTCAGGCCATTATGGCATTGCACTGAGTTCGAGCATGATGTGCCCGACTAGCCCTTGCACCTCGCAGGACTTGTCCATTGCACGCGAGAGGGTTGTCGCTTTTATAACTGCCTTGTCGAGACATTGCTCTTTACAACCACCGTGGTTGTAGCCCATGACGGGTAAGATAGACCCAGACAATTATCGGTCTAAGACAGGGACTACGTCAAGCTACGCAGCCTCCCTATGACGGATCGTGCGCCTTGAGTCTACAACCTAAGACAGGCCCATACCAGCTTATTTTTTCTATTGTATAAGAAAGGGGGAGATGTTGCCAGCCGCATCTGCATGTACTGGCTACATGCCGTACCCAAAATGGCGCCGGCCGGAAAAGCCACACCTTGGTTCCTGGTGACGTAGCTTTCGTGGTACTGCGCAGGCGCCTAGCACATGCCCAGTGAGCTGAGGCGTGGCCGGCGCATGAACACTGGGACTGACGAATCCAGTCGCCTAGGACCCTGCGTAATCAAGACGCCGACCTATCATCGGCGGAGGCGGGGCCAGTCAGCACATAAGAGCAGACAGCCTGCCGGGATCTGGGCCTTTCCCTCCTCATCTTGGTGCGCGCAATAAAGACTACCGCAGAAGACTTCACTCGCGTCTGCCTCTTATCGCCGGACGATAAGAAACGTGGGCGCGACAGTGAGCCAGTCACCTCGGTGCTGTGGGAGGCATTCGGACAGAACCCGACTGAAGGAAGCTGCCACGAATAAATGTTGAAAAGAGATGTGTGTAGAATAGAAAGACAGCCTTCTGCCCATCAGAAAATAGTGAGGATTTGTAAAATGAAATCAATGATTTATTAACAACATTAAACCTGTGTTAGCTTTCGACGATAGAGTCATGGAATAGAATAACTGCACTCGGGGAGGCAGCTGATGGGTGTAACCATGACGATAGAGTCGTGAGAGAATAACTGTACTCGGGGAGGCAGCTGATGAGTGTAACCATGTTTTAGTAAGATGAAAAACAAGTTTGCCCAAATAAAGAGACGAAAAAGTAGAAAACCACGTTCTTTTGAAACTGATATTAGATAAAACTTACCCTGAAATGATTTAAGAATTATTTTTGCAGCATGATTTTTTTTCTTTTGAAAACAATTCATGAAGAATTTATGAAAAGCTGCATTTTCTATAATACATTTATTGTATACTTTATGAAAAATAATTTTACTAAGTTTTATTATGTTAAATCGTATCAGTAAAATTGTTATCCATTGTATATTGTGTTACTCAGTGTGCACAGTTAGAATATTCTTGCTAGATTAAAAAGAAAGTTTCTCTTTGATATGTGGACATTGTTTATGATTGATCTGATAAGGATTAGAAGAAGATATCTTGTAAAAATACTGTAATCAGTATAAGGCATACAAAGGTAATTGTGAAGAGATATTTTCCACAATGACAACCAGAAGATAATAATTCAAAGCTCCATTTTGTTGATTGTCGTTGGTTGGAGCTCCTGGCAGTGGCCTGCCATCGGGGTCGTATTGGTAGCTGACATGTATACATTTTAAACTACACTTGAATCTTGGAGATGAAGAGAGGTACTCTGCTATTCAATGGGCTGCTCCTTGATTGTTCCATCCGTTTCCTTCCTTCCCTACCACTTCCTCCCCTACCACTTCCTCCCCTACCACTTCCTCCCCTACCCTGTAACCCCCATCTCCCTTCCTTCCTCCTCACCCCTACCATTTCCTCCCCTACCCTGTAACCCCCATCTCTCTTCCTTCCTCCCCACCCCCGTAACCCCATCTCCCTTCCTTTCTCCCCTACCACTTCCTCCCCTACCCTATAACCCCCATCTCCCTTCCTTTCTCCCCTACCACTTCCTCCCCTACCCTATAACCCCCATCTCCCTTTCTCCCCCACCCCGTAACCCCCATCTCCCTTCCTCCCCCACCCCTGTAATCCCCATCTCCCTTCCTTCCCTACCCTTGTAACTCCTGATCTCACTGCCTGCTTGAGATGCTGCTGTCTCCATGGGCAGTTGGTAATATGCCCAGTTAGAATGTTACTGTATAATTTGTCAGTTAGCTATCTGTCTCCATGAGTTATTTCTACCAGTTCTACTCTAGAATTGGAAGGATATGCAGATATATTTACATGTAGACTCCTCATGGTGTTTATAAAAATAGAACGATAGGGCAAAAGATCATTTACAAAGATATTGATTAGTTGAATAAGTTATTCTGTATGCTTATAATAGAATATCGTGCAACCAGTAAATGTTGTTACAGGTGTCCACTGATATAAAGTCATGTATGACATTATGAAACATAAGACATTGCAGAATCAGATGTGTACAACATTTTCATTTTAAAAAGTGTGAAGTATCAGCCACCAGATGATCTTGAGTGATCTACTAGATGCATTTGTCTGTGCCTTGCTAGTTTGTCAGTTAGGAACTTGGGCTTATACTTTGTTCACTTAGGAGAGGTGGCATTGGAAAGTGGAAGCCACATAACCAACAACATAGCTGAATTGCCCTTCAGGGTGGCAGACCAGACAGTGGGTGCTTTGGGACAAAGTGTGAGTCAGTCCAGTGGGAACTGCATCTGGCCAGTGGCCCAAGTGACACCTGCTCAGGTGACTTCTTGAGGACTGTCTACCATCAATTGACTGGGTAGACCATTTACAGAAGACAGGGCCTTGGGGATGCTAGCATGTCAGAGCATCTCTGATGAATGCACTGGCACAGCTTAAAGGACGACAGCCAGGTCCCATAGCTGAGAAGGAAGCGTGTAAGAAGCTGCTTCGGCAGCCTGTGTCAGATGTCACGGTGAGAGAGTCTAGGGGGAGGTCTGGGCCGCAGCCCCCTGCCAGAGCAGATCCTGGAGAACGCTGGATCACTCCACACCATCAGATCTGAGCTGCAGGCTTCAGTGTGGCCCGGCCTAGCCAGCGTGGGTGCTTGTGCAAGAGACCACTAGGCCAGGGCTTGCTCTCACTTTCTGCCTCTGGGTGACTTCTGACAGTCACGTGGGGGTTACTTTTGGGGTCACTCTTACCCATTTGATGATAGTAAATACCCACTCCCATTCTGTTGCATTTGCATTGTTCCTTTCAGTAGAGTAATGTACTAAAAGAAAATTGATTAAACCCTGTATATTCAGTGTTTATATTTAAATGATGGTGCATTTTGGGTTTAAATTTTTTCCTTAATATTGGTTAACACTTATGTGCAGTTTTAAAATTTTATTATTACTGTTTCTTATTGTTTTGTCTCAATTCATCCACATTTAGTCCTGTAATGTGTATGAGTTTGCTGTGTCCATCTCACAGATGGAATAATCTGAAGCTTTCTGGGATTGCAGTGCTGCCTGGTCAATAGTACATACAGGATTTGAAAGGACATGATTTTGACCCCAGAAACTTCTCTCTTAACTATTGTACTTTGGGCCCGGTGTGATAGTTTAGTAGGTAAATCCTTGCCTTGGGCACACTGCAATTTCATATGGGTGCCGGTTCTAATCCTGGCTGCTCCACTTCCCATCCAGCTCCCTGCTTGTGGCCTGGGAAAGCAGTCGAGGATGGCCCAAAGCCTTGGGACCCTGCACCCCTGTGGGAGATCCGGAAGAGGTTCTAACTCCTGGCTCCTGGCTTTGGGTTCTGCTCAGCTCTGTCTGCTGCTGCCACTTGGGGAGTGAAACAGTGGGTGGAAGAACTTTCAGTCTATGACTTTCTAATAGAAATAAATAACTGTTCAAAATTCCACAGTTAGCATTTTTGTGTGCCTCTGTTGGTGGGGCTTTCTCATTCTTTGTTTTTCAACGTATGGCTACCGGTCCGCACCAAATCGTTGGTAATACTCTCTGAGACGGTGTCTCCTGAACTGGTGACACGTTTAGTAGCGTTGATCCTCATATGCAGACATTGACAGGTGATGGCTCCAAGGTGCGCAGGCCTCAGTCCCGGAGGCTGGCAGGCCTCCTGGGTAGAGCCGCTGTCCTGCCCAGTCCTGCCCTGCTCGTTGGTTTGAGAAGTGAGTCTGTTTCTGCCTCTCTCACCCTCTCCCGCTTTATGCATGGATCTCACTCTGGCTTTTAAGTAAAAAGAAGAAAACATTTTGTAAAACCTGAAGTTATCTTGGAGATTAAGAAAAAAAATGTTTAAAATTTGGCAGAAGATGAAAAGTGCTTGTACTCTTGTGTCATCGTTTGGAATGCTTTTGGTGTTGAGTGAGCTGAGCAGAAAGGAGCTCAAGTTATGTCTTAGAAAGTATCAGAGTCGCATGCCTCACATGCTGGTCCAGCCGCAGCACCTGGTCACGTGTGCGGGCGCGCCTTCGGGTGGCGTATTCTCCAGGGACCCTTAGGCACACCAAGTTGGCTTTTTTTTTTTTTTTTTTTTGCTTTCCCTTTCATTATGCGTCAATCTAATTAATTACGTCTGACTTACAGGGGAGCATGGTTGATTGATTTTGTTTCGTGCAGGTAACTTATCTTTTTGATTTTTGTAGATCAATGTGAAAGATAATAAAAATGCCAAGTATATTGAGAATCATATTCCATCAAATGACTTGAGAGCCTTTGTATTTGAGAGTCAAGAAGATATGGAAGTTTTCCTCAAAGAGGCAAGTTCACCAACCTGACACTTGTTCACCTGGCACTTCTCAGTACTCGAATCTACCTTGAGCAGAGCCAGCAGAGGTGGTGCATCACTGCTGGACCTCTGTGTGCACATCAGTCAGTTCTGCTCTGTTCTTTCCTCTTTGCCATGATGTGGGTACGGACTTATTCTGTAAAAGCAAACTAGCCCATTAGCATCTGTAACATGTGAAAATAATCATTTGGAATTAGTATGGAAAATAATTCTGGCCCGTTGCTTTAAGAGAAGGAAACACTGCAGTGATGTGCCTTTGGTTTTGCACATCTCTTTGGAAGTTATTAAATTGAGCTCAGTTTTTTTTAAAGGGGCAGTCTATTTGATGTTATTTCACAGTAATGTAAGTGGAACTTCCTTTCAAAGAATGAGAGTCTTGTATCTGTGTGGCAGATACTGCTGGTAGCTGAAGGCTGCTGTAGCCGTCAGGGCGGTCTGTGTGCTGCCTGACACCGGAGGCCAGAAGTTCCACTTCTGTGACCCCAGGGGCTGGTGGCCACGTCAGAGGCTGGTGGATTCAGAGCAGTGCTGTTACATAGTATAGTTAGGTATTTTTAAATGGGCTTTGAACTTTTGGCTTTTACAAAAAATGATTTGAGATGCAGAGTAACCAGAAGAAAAGGAAGGAAAGAATGAAAGATCTGCAAAGAAGAAACAGATCTTCTCTCAGCAGTTCTGTCCCCAATGGCTGCAGCAGCCAGAACTGGGCGAGTCTGGAGCCAGGAGCTTCTTCCAGGTCTCCCAAAGTCTTGGGCCATTTTTCACTGCTTGCTCACAGCATTGGCAGGGAGCTGGGTTGGAAGTGGGGCAGCTGGAACTCAAAACTGTTGCTCACCTGGGGTACCAGTGCTGCAGGTGAAGGTGGTCTTACTTTGCCGTATCACTGGCCCCTTTCCTTTCGTATTGTCAAATTTGGCAAATAGGAGAAAAGTTTTCAATGTGTCTAACTTTTCCAGTATATATTTTTTTTCCCTATTTGATCTTTTCTGAGTCTCTTGGATCTCTCGGCATTGTTTCTCATACTGGATATTTCTCTTTAATTCTCTTTTGTTCCTTCTCGCTGAAATTCTCAAACATATAACCTTTTTTTTGTTTGCTTTGCTTCCTTATTTTTTAATTTGTTTCATTTAATGATACAGTTCCATAGGCTCTGGGATTTCCTTTCTTCCTCCCCAACTTCCCTCCCCTTGGCGGGTTCCCCCGTATTATTACGGCAGTGTAGGCCTTCATAAACAGTCCTGAGTCTGTCATTCTGCTCTTTGCCCTTTTCCTGATGTGGCGCATAAACTCAGCTCGCGCCGTTCTCTCGCAGATGGCGCCTCTCTCCACCATCAGCGTATGTTTCTGGCATCTCTGATGACTTCAGAAGATGTCTTTAAAGATTTGTCCAGGCTTGGCTGTTGGCCCAGCACTTCAGATGCCTCCCGGATTCCTTGTCAAAATGTTTGGGTTCAAGTCCCAGCTTGGCTCCCATTTCCAACTTCTTGACTAAATTTTACCCTGGGAGTCTGCAGACACTGGCTCATGGACGTGGGTCCCTGGCACCCGTGTGTGAAGTCAGGTTGAATTTGACTCAGATGTGACTGTTTCTGGGGAGTAAAACCAGCAGGTGAACTGTGTGTTTTCTCTGGGTGTCTCCTTCATCTTGTTACCTTTCACGTAAATAAAATTAGAACTTTTCTTAAGGTCTGGAATTTGTAAAAAGTTTAGCTCAGTGCAAGATGAGCTGCCATTATTTGGGCCATTTCTGTTCTGTATCATTTTGAAGTAAGTCTCATTCTGTTTGATCTGAAAGTATCTTAGTATATACCTCTGAAAGAAATGAACTTTAAAAAAATGTAGTTACAGTATCATATCACAGTAAGTTTCTTAACATTACCATCAAATATCCAATGGTCCAATTTCTGATTGTCCCATGAATAGCAGTAGGAATATAGTAACTTTGGAAATCGTCTTCCTTTCTTCCTCTGTTTCTTTCTTTATTTAAAAGCCTGAGAGATATAGACAAACTTTAATCTCCCAACTGCTGGTTCGTTTCTCAAGTGCCCACAGTAGCTGGGACTGCAGCGACCAAAGCCAGGACCCAGGGGTTCAGTCCAGCTTGCCCCCAAGGGGGACAGTGATTCAGACACGTGAATCAGCACGCGCTGCCTGCCAGGGTATACGTTAGCAGAGAACTGGATCAGAGCCAGGACTTGAACCATGCACTCCCAGGGGGCTACAGCTCTCACTGGGGGATCGCAGCTGCTGCCCAGACCTCCTGCCTCTGGAGGGCGTGTGTCCCAGTGTGTGCCTTTCTCATTCCTCAGGTCCGTGACAATAAAAAGCTAAGAGTGAATGCTGTCATTGCTCCCAGGAGCTCACACGCAGCCAGGCCGCCCTCGAGACTGCTCAACGAACTCAAGTGAGTATTAAATCATTTGGTCTTTTAAATATGTCTGAATTAATTCTTTCTCGCATATGTTTATGATAAGGTGTAGTGCTTTTTTAAAAAAAGAAAACTTTGTACCCAAGAGCATGCGTGTCCGTGTAGACGCGCCCTCCTGGTGTGTAGTTAGTGTCCGTGTATGATGGAGGTGTCGAGCAAAACTATATTGAACCGTTTACTACATAGCAGAAAAATAGTTGGTAAGCTAATGGGAAAATGAAGTGATAAATCATTGCTTTCTAAAGCTAAGTAATTTCTAAAGGACCAACTAAAAATTGTTATCTTAGCTCCATGTCTAAGTAGGAATTCAAAATATACAAGCAACAGAAGAAGTTAAAAAAAGCAATTTACTATTTAGCAATCACAAATGTTTTAGGCATCTCGGGTAAGAAGGTGGATAATATGAAATGTATTTAAATATTTAAAAAGCTGTGGCCACTTTTCAGTCTTGGCTTTTTTTCTGATTTCTCGAGAACTGAATTCAAACTGAGTCTCACTTTTTCAGGCAATACGGGTTTATCTCTTACCTACGAGAGCTGTTCGATGCACCAGACCTGGTCATGAGCTACCTTTGCTACCAGTATCACATCCATGAAGTCCCCGTGGGAACCGAAAGGACGAGAGAACAGATCGAGCGGGTAGGAAGGCACTGGCTCACTGACACGAGTCTGTTTTATTGAAACGCCTTATCTTACTTAAAGTTCAGCCTGAAGTGGCCAGGAATTTTTAAAAGTATATTATCCTGTTATTTTTAATAAGACACCAATAGTGAGTCTTGGCTAACATTTGACGATAGGAGGAATATAGAGATAAGAATGGGTACTTATGTCTTTTAAGATAACTGAGTACTGTTTAGATTCTGCTTTGCTTAATAATCCTGTGTAAACCTATGTCAGATTCATACATTCCAGATTATCTTGCAGAAAAACTGTAGTTTAGAATGGAAGGCAGTGGGGCCTGGTGTGGTAGCCTAGCGGCTCAACTCCTCGCTCTGCTTGTGCTGGGATCCCATATGGGCACTGATTCGTTTCCCAGCTGCGCAACTTCCCATCCAGCCCCCTGCCTGTGGCCTGGGAAAGCAGTTGAGGATGACTCAAGGCTTTGGGACCCTGCACCCCTGTGGGAAACCCGGAAGAGGTTCCTGGTTCCCGGCGTCGGATTGGCGCAGTACCGGCCGTTGCAGCTCACTTGGGGAATGAATCATCGGACGGAAGATCTTCCTCTCTGTCTCTCCTCCTCTCTGTATATCTGACTTTCCATTAAATAAATAAATCTTTAAAAAAAAGATTATATTTTACGCTACAAAACTCCTAAAAGATTTGAAAAAATTCAAACAATTTTAAATCTCCTTCGCATGAAAAATGTTTCCATTAAGTAGTTAACAAAATATATGGGAAGTGCTTGCGAAGCTGCATGTTTGGGCCGTAGAAATGAAGAGCGTGCACGAGGAGTACGGGCTCCCCATGGCTTTCTTCCCTGTCGGGTCCCTGGCCCCGATCTGTTTCTTAAACACTAAAATTCCAGCATGCGCCCTGCTTGGGAGGCGTGGTGAACGAGGCGCGGTTTACTGTGCTCTTCTGCTTTCCGCCTGCTGCTCCTTGGTGCCGCTGCCCAGCGCAGCGATCGGGAACGAACCCGCCGTTGTCTCAGTGACGGCATTAGTGGTGCTTGAAAGCAGAAGGTGTATCTAGAGTGCTTCGTACTTATCTAGACTCTGAACTAAACCTGCTTTGTGTTTGTAATTCTTTAGTCCTTTAAAACATATTTTAATTGTTATTACATGTACTTTAACGTCAGTGCTTGTTTTGCATTGTAGGTAATACAAGAAACTCGACTGAAACAAATTTATACAGCAGAAGAAAAATATGTGGTGAAAACATCTTTCTATTCGAACAAGCTTATTTCCAGTAATACGGCCCTGAAAGAGGCCCAGTTCCTCACCGTGACTGTGGACCTGGAGCAGAGGAGGCATTTGGAGGAGCAGCTAAAGGTTGGTGAATTTGACTGGGCTGCTACACATGTGAGCTGTGTTTCAGATGTACTAACGGTTTTGAATTTCCATAGGAAATTACTATGAAGTTGCAGTCTGTGGAGTCAGAATTGACTGGCTTGTGTGAGAAAAGCAAGCTCCTGGAACGCAGAGATAATGACCTGAGACAGAAGAAGAAGGAGCTGCTTGAGAGAAAGACCAAGAAGAGGCAGCTGGATCAGAAGATCAAGTCCAAGCAGGGAAGGTATTTTGCGGACTGTGTGGGGAGCGTGTGAAACCCTGAGCGCAGTGTCGTCTCTCTGGTGCCTGACCACATCCACACTAATGTTGAAGTAGTTTTTCATTAAACCATGCTCGTCCTGCCCATGATTGTAAACGTGATCTTAGTCAGTATGTCAAGGCGAGAGGGGTGTCGAGTGGTGCTGTCTGCTGTCAGCTCCTCAGTCCTTGGGCACCTTTATGTGCCTAAAACTACGGAGATCTCAAATCCTGCTTCTATGGATTGCAGCTGTTGCTGTTCACCACAATGCCCAAGGTAGTGCTCATTTATCAGAAAATAGTAAACTTATTGTGTTTAACAGAAAATAGTTACGAAAAATAACTGTACCAAAAGTGTTGTCCAAAGAATGGAACTGTGTCAGGTTTCTGCAGCAATCCTCAGGTGGGGGCTGGAGGTTTCCCGGAGCTGCCTGTGTGTTCAGTGTGTGGTGTGTCCGGTGTGCGGTGGGATGGAGGAGTTGAGCCCTCACACAGAGCTGCCATTATGAAAAGTAGGAATACTGTGGAGACCTTTTAGATAGCTGTACTGACTCTTTTACCATCACATCAAAACTTGTGAAAATGTAGTTTGTTAAAGTTTAATTACAGTATGGAATCTTAAGTCATGTCAGTGGACTTATGTTAGCATCCATTGTGGTTTACATTTTTTGAAAAGATTTATTTATTTATCTGAGAAGCATGGTGACAGAGGCAGGGACAGAGAGCATAAAGTTCTTCAGTATGCTCATTCACCCCCAAGATGGTTGCAACATTCAAGTCTGGGCCATGGACGCCATGGTCGCAGTAACTTGGAGCATCTTCACGGTCCCCCGAGGCACGTTAGCCGGAAGCTGGAGCAGAAGCAGGTAGCCCGGCTCAGGCTGGTGCTCCAGTGTGGCACGTGAGCATTGCAGTCAGCAGCTGCATGTGCTGTGCCACAGTGGTGGCTTCCATGCGACGTGAATGTCGATCTGTCTTTTTTTTTAACATGTATTTTAATTTTTACTAGAAGGACAGATTTACAAAGAGGAGAGAAAGATCTCACATCTGCTGGTTTACTCCCCATGTGGCCCTGAGGGTCAAAGCTGAGCCAATATGAACTAGGGCCCAGGAGCTTCTACCGGGTCTCCCATATGAGTGCAAGGTCCTAAGGCTTTGGGCCATCGAGTGTCTTAGACCACGAGCTGAGAGCTGAAAGGCAAGTGGAGCAATTGGGACACGAGCTGGCACCCTTATGGTGTAAAGGAAGAAGCATACCAACTAGGAGGTGCTAAGCCAACAGAAGCCCCTAAGTGAATGTTTTACCCATAATGCTTTTGTTACATCCTGCATTATAATATTATTTAAAGCATGTGGATAAATGATTCCATCAAAATTGTTAAGTTGGAAAGTTGTTGGGCTTTCTGTGTCAGATAACAAATTTTGTAGAATTCTGGTTTTTATCTAAAAGATTGAATTAATCAGTGGTAATAAAAATCAGCAGCTCTGTTCCTTGAAGTGACAGGCTCACTTCATCTCTTCTTGGAGAAAGAAAAATGACCAAACACTCTGACTTATCTAGTTGTCATTTCTCAAGTAGAGATAGTATTCTAGGAGAAGCTTCTAATGCAGCTTCCAAATCGCTCAGCCCAGCAGTTGTCCTGGAGAGCCATTCCCCAGCTGCCCCCCAGCCGTCCCCCAGCCTCTCCCCCGCCTCTCCCCAGCCTCTCCCCAGCCGCTTCTCAGGCAGACCCCAGCTGCCCCCCAGCTGTCCCCCAGCCGTCCCCCAGCCGCTCCCCAGCCTCTCCCCAGCCTCTCCCCAGCCGCTCCCCAGGCTCTCCCCAGCCGCTCCCCAGGTGTCCCCAGCTGCTCCCCAGGCGGTCCTGGCTTGCTGTTAGAAGGAAGCACTGAAGATGCTTCTCCCAGTGCGTGCTGACGAAGGGCTCAGTGGCTGCTGCTGCGCTGTGATCCTGCTCTGTTGATTAGCTTTGCCTTGTGCTGTTACTGGCCAGGACACAGAGCACAGTGAGAGGGGAGCCTAAGGCAGGCCTAGCCTCACGGATCGCCCTGAAACGCCAGTGGACATCCTAGGGCTTTGTGCACTGCGCTTGCGTGTCTGTGCCCAGTGAGTTTGAAATGGTAGGAAGCAGGTGCAGACAAAGCCGCCAGCTCCGGAGGAAAGCAGTAAGGGATAGAAGGTTTTGCTGATTTTGTAGAATAGGGTTTTGAATTTAGCTATGTTACAGAAACTGGAATGTATGTGATAGAATAAGAGCTAGTAGAGTTTGCCGTATAGGGAAAAGTACTCTGCCTTTTTTCAATGCCTTTCCCATATCCTGTCATGACACAGCTCAGTCCTTTTGGTTGTCACTGCTTTGTAACTGCTTGTCTGTTCTATAAACATGGTGATTAGGACACATACCTTTAGTCACAGGTGGCCGTTCATTGGTTTGAATGGATATATGCTCACTTTGTTCTGCCTGCCTGTTAACTCTTACTCAAAGCATGAATTATGTACTTTGGTTGCATAGCAAATCTAACTTTCTAGAATTAATTTCAACTTTACACTTTTTTCTTGAATTTGAACTAATCATTTACTTCTCTTAAGTCTTGTACAAAGCACATAGCCTTTCTGGAGAAGCACTGTACTTTTTGCAGGAAAGCTGTTTAAAGCACCTGCTCTCACACACTGCACTTTTCCTGCCTCTGTTCACTTTGGTCTCTGGCAGGACTTCCTAGCACTACTCTCAAGACTAGTTCAAGGGGTTTTTTTAGACTAGCTTTTATGATTATTCAGATTCTGTCTTGTTCGGTGCATTCCAGCTCTCGCCTCGCTCAGTCCTCGCGTGTTTCCTGCATTGTCATTCGCGTTTATCACTGCTTCCATCCTCCGCCCTGCACACCAGCTTCCCGTGCTAGCCCGGGCGCTGCCCCACCTCACGTCTGAGCGCCTTGGTCAGCGTGGAGCCCAGCCTTCTGCTGATGCAGACTCGGGAAGGCGGAGGGTAGCTGGCTGCTCACCAGGTCTCAGCTCCTGGTTAACACTCGGTCGGCTCACCAGGTCTCAGCTCCTGGTTAACACTCGGTCGGCTCACCAGGTCTCAGCTCCTGGTTAACACTCGGTCGGCTCACCAGGTCTCAGCTCCTGGTTAACACTCGGTCGGCTCACCAGGTCTCAGCTCCTGGTTAACACTCGGTCGGCTTTGTTCTTGGCCTTTGCAGGTGTTTGGCCAGTAAACTTGGGGACGACTTTGTCCTCAATCATTCCATCACTCTCTATCCCTTCCCTCCCCGAGTCCCTTCTGCTTCTGTGTAAATTAATGTTTTGCAAAAGGAACCTAATATTTTTAAATTATTGTGTTGTGCTTTATTTTCATTTTTTACCTAGTTGATCAGGGCTGTGTTTCATAGTAACAACAGAGAAGGCTTACATTGGTTAGTTATGGGCTAGCCGTTGTACTGAGTATGTTGTAGTCTTCACAGCCCCATAGGGAAGTACTCTTACTTTTTTTTCTAAGATTTATTTATTTTTTAAAATTGTTATTGGAAAGTCAGATATACAGAGAGGACGAGATACTGAGAGAAAGATCTTCCGTCTGTTGGTTCACTCCCCAAGTGACTGCAACGGCTGGAGCTGAGCCAGTCAGGAGCCAGGAGATTCTTCCAGGTCTCCCACGTGGGTGCAGGGTCCCAAGGCTTTGGGCTGTCCTCGACTGCTTTCTCAGGCCACAGGCAGGGGCTGGATGGGAAGTGGGGCCGCCAGGACACAAACCAGTGCCCATTCGGGATCTCGGCACTTGCAAGGTGTGGACGTTAGCTGCTGGACTAGCACTTCAGGCCCAGGGAGGTACTCTTACTTTCTGCAGTCCACAGATGAGGAAACCGAAGCATAGGAGACTGCTGTCCGTGTCTGACAGTGGCACTGCCGTTGGAGCAGGCTGGAACACTGTCTAACCCTGCCCAGAGCTGCGGGCCCTGAGCGTCTGTAACCATGTCTGACTCTGAACCCTTCAATGTTGTGTCTGTTGTGCAGCTTAAAGCTGATGGAACAGGACACCTGCAACCTGAAAGAGGAAGAACAAAAAACGGCCACCAAAATCAAAGAAATAAATATTCAAAAGGCAAAACTTGTTACTGAATTAACAAACCTAATGAAGGTAAGGGACATTTTCTTGATTTTAGCAATTTTTTATTGCAAGTAATTCAGATAGTCAAATCTATTTTTTTGTTGGTCTTTTTTTTTTTTTTTTCAAAAGTTAACTTTAGTTATTTATTTTAAAAGTAGCAAGAGAGAGAGAATGGCGGAGACAGGGTGGGAGGCACTCTGTCGGCAGATTGACTCCCTAAATGGCTGCATGACTGTGGCCTGTGGGCTGGCCGTGCCTGAGCCAGGAGCCCAGAACTTCTCCCAGCTCTACCACGTATGTGGGAGGGCCATCCTCAGCTGCTTTCCCAGGAGAGTTAGAACAAAGCTGGGACACCAGCTGCTGCCCACATGGGGTGCTGGCATCACGGGCAGTCGCTTACCCTACTCTGCCACAGTGGTAGTCCCTGAGAGATGTTTTATTCCTTATTGGAGGGAAGATTGTGATGAAGAAATTTGGTGTTTTAGTTATATAGGTGAGAAATTTTTGTCATCAGTTTTAGTTTGCTCAGTTACTGAAATTTTCTCATTAGATTAAAAGCGTTGATTAGATTATTTTATTCCAGATAACTTTTAAAAAGCAGGAAGATTCTGTCAGAGTTGCCTTTGTGGCACTGCAGATTAAGCTGCCGGTTGGGCCCCTGGCTGTACAGCTGCTGACTCGAGGGCTGGCCCCTGGCCGGAGCTGGCAATGGCTGCTGACTTCTACTTTAATGCTATATAAGAGAATTTCATTCACGAGAGGAAATGTCATTTTTGTGGATTACATGATTTATAATTTAACTTATTGTAGAAGTTTCTCATAACTCTTAAACACAAAACTATTAAGGATGTCCCCCCCCCCTTAGATTTGTACTTCGTTGCACATACAAAAAGTTGGTTTAATTCTTCAAAATACTACAATGATCTCTGAGAAGAATAAATTAGAATCGGATTATATGGCTGTGTCATCACAACTACGCGTCACTGAGGTAAGATGTGTGCTTTTATTTCTGGTGGAGATTCAAGCTTCCGGTCAGTTTGAAAACACTTCATATATATCCCCACTTGCAATACAGTTTGTTGTTGTATGCAGTTGAATTTACAAGCTTAATGCATACAGCTGCTGAGAACGTAAACTTGAGGTCACATTAGAGCAGCTCGGTAACCTTGACAATTGAATCTGTTAATATCTGTGAATTGATAAATATCAGATAGCGTGTAGCGGGAAGAAAGTATGATAGACCAGATTAATTTAGAACCCAGGAACGAACTGGTAATGAGATCCTTTGGATTTCTCAAATTATTTCCATAAAATAAAAATACAGTTAGCGTTATTGACATCCATAAACTAACGGACAGCATGTACCAACAAGTAACTTTTAAGGCCTCCTTATCATTTTCTTACAGTATTGCTACGATGTTGACCATTGGAAGTTAAGTGGTGAACTTGACTAGTTAAGATCTTAGACTGCTCTAATGAGGGAGGAGCTGCAGGTCCACAGGGCCACAGACTCTTCTTGCACTTCCGACCAGCTGGCTGTGGATCCAGAGGCCCATGACATTCTCAGAAACACCCTGGGTGAAGGACTGTAGCTTTGTTATAAAGGGTACAAATCAGAACTGTTCAGATGCAGAGAAGCCTGGAAGGAGGAAGCGCAGAGTCTGCCCCTTCCCCGTGGAGCAAAGTGTAGCCCTCCTGTCCCGTCTGTGTGGCCAACAAGGACGCTCAACCAAGTTGTGTTGCACAGGGATTCTGTTGCGGCCCTATCATGCAGGCTGCTTGATGGGATCATTGTCCATGTGGTTAAGGTCTGGTTCCAGTTCTTTCCCAGATTTCATGAAATTAGACTGATAACAGTTTCAGTGACCCAGCACTTTAATCATAGCGTTTATCTTTGTCACCATTGCCCACTGATATTTTGATTCATAGTCTTAGCATAAACTCAGATGTGATCCAAGGGACTGTGAATGACAAAGGCTCTGCTATCACTCAATTTCATGAGTTTTAGAATAAAAGTCAACTGAATTCCTTTTTGTGTGGCAGCTGGAAACTGTAAAATAGAAGTGGGTGAGTTATAGCAGCCCCAGTAGTAGCAGCAAGGCTATGGTGATATCACCAAGGAGGAGGTTAGAGAACCCGAGATCAGGATGCCCGGATGTTCTCATCTGCAGTGGGAGGAGGCCTTGGTTAAGTATAGAACGCTCAGCACACCAATCTGAGTGCTGGACGCTAGCAGGCAGCCTATGGACTCCAGAGAATTGGGAGAGTGCTGGAGTGGTCCGGCATTGCAAATTGGCAGATCAATTGAACCTTCTTTGTGGAACAAAGCTAATTCTTGAGAAGTAGAGCCAAATGGGAGTTAATGGAGACAATAAAATGTGTACTGTGTTGTACTGTGCCTGACAGTGTTAACTAAAGCAGAACTCTTAAAATGTGCAACAAGGGGAACAAGCAAGGTAAAATAGATTGTTTGCTGACTTGCCGTGTATACATATTATGGATAAATAAAAGAAGATTGCTTCAGGTTAGGTGCTTTGGGAGAAGGAAATACAGGAGAATTTGAATAATATTTACAATAGGGACCCAGTAGATAGTACCTCTTACAGACCTGGTAGGGACATAACAATATTCTATGCATCATACCTCAGGTAATATTCTTATATCATGGATAACTTTTAGAATAAAAAATAAAATCCTTATTATATACCCCAGCATAAACATACCAGGTGGCAGAGCAGTAAAATGCCTCACATTGAATAGTATCAGCCCTTGGTGCCCATGTTCATCTGAGTACATCCAGTTAAATGAATTCTGCCCTTGGTGCCCATGTCCATCTGAGTACATCTCAGTAAGAGGATTCTGCCCCTTGGTGCCCATGTCCATCTGAGTACATCCCAGTAAGAGGATTCTGCCCTTGGTGCCCATGTCCATCTGAGGACATCCATTTAAATGGATTCTGCCCCTTGGTGCCCATGTCCATTTGAGTACATCACAGTAAGAGAATTCTGCCCCTTGGTGCCCATGTCAATCTGAGTACATCCCAGTAACAGGATTGTGCCCTAGGTGCCTCTGTCCATTTAAGTATAACCCAGTAAGAGAATAGTGCCCTTGGTGCCCATGTCCATCAGAGTACATGCAGTTAAATGGATTCTGCCCTTGATACTTATGTCCATCTGAGTACATCCCAATATGATGACACAGCCCCTAGGTGCCCATGTCCATCTGGGTACATCCCAGTAAGAGGATTCTGCCCTTGGTGCCCATTTCCATCTGGTACATCCCTGTAAGAGAATTTTGCCCCTGGTGTCCATGACCATCTGAGTACATCCAGTTAAATGGATTCTGCCCTTGGTGCCCATGTCCATGTGAGTACATTCCAATTAAATGGATTCTGCACTTGGTGCCCATGTCCATCTGAGTACATCCAGTTAAATGGATTCTGCTCTTGGTGCCCATGTCCATCTGAGTACATCCCAGATAAATGAATTCTGCCCCTTGGTGCCCATGTCCATCTGAGTACATCCAGTTAAATCAATTCTGCTCCTTGGTGCCCATCTCCATCTAATGCATCCAGTTAAATCTGTTCAGACCCTCGGTGCCCATGTCCATCTGGGTACATCCCAGTAGGAGGATTCTGCCCTTGTTGCCCATGTCGATCTGAGTACATCCCAGTAAGGGGATTCAACCCTTTGGTGACCATGCCCATCTGAGTACATCCCAGTAAGAGAATTCTGCCCTTGGTGCCCATGTCCAACTGAGGACACCCAGTAAAATGAATTCTGCCCTTGGTGCCCATGTCCATCTGAGTACATCCAGTTAAATGGATTCTGCCCTTTGGTGCCCATTTCCATCTGAGTACATCCAGTAAATGGATTCTGCCCCTTGGTGCCCCTGTCCATCTCAGTACATCCCAGTAATACGATTCTGCCCCTTGGTGCCCATGTCCATCTGAGTACATCCAGTTAAATGGATTCTGTCCTTTGGTGCCCATATCCATCTGAGTACATCCCAGAAAGATGATTCTGCCTCTAGGTGCCCATGTCCCTCTGGTACTTCCCTGTAAGAGAATTTTGCCCCTGGTGCCCATGACCATCTGAGTACATCCCAGTAAGAAGATTCTTTCTTTGGTGCCCATGTCCATCTGAGTTCATCCCAGTTAAATGGATTCTGCCCTTGGTGCCCATGTTCACCTGAGAAGATCCAGTAAAATGGATGCAGTCCCTTGCTGCCATGTTCATCTGAGTGCATTCTAGTAAGTTGATTCTGCCCCTTGGTGCGCATGTCCATCTGAGTACATCCCAGTAAGAGGATTGTGTTCCTTGGTACCCATATCCATCTGTGTACATCCCAGTAAGATGATTCTTCCCTTGATGCCCGTGTCCATCTGTGGACATCCAGTTAAATGGATTCTGCCCTTGATGCCCATGTTAATCTGAGAGCTTGAATTAAATGGATTTTGCTGCTTGGTGCCCATGTCCTTCTGAGTATATCTGAATATTAGCATTCCCCCCCCTTGGTGCCCATGTCCATCTGAGTACATATAGTTAAATGAATTCTGCCCCTTGGTGCCCATGTTCCTCTGATGACATCCAGTAAATGGATTCTGCCCCTTGGTGCCCATGTCCATCTAGGTACATCCCAGTAACACGCTTCTGACCTTGATGCCCATGTCCATCTGAGTACATCCCAGTGAGAGGATTCTGCCCTTGGTTCTCATGTCCATCTAGAACATCCCTGTAAGAGGATTCAGCCCTTTGGTGACCATGCCCATCTGAGTACATCCCATTAAGATGATTCAGCCCCTTGGTGCCCATGTTCATCTGAGGACATCCATTAAATGGATTTTGCTTCTTGGTGCCCCTGTCCATTTCCGTACATCCAGTTAAATGATTTCTGCCCCTTGGTGCCCATGTCCACTTGAGTACATCCAGTTAAATGGATTCTGCCCTTGGTGCCCATGTCCATCTGAGTACATCCAGTTATATGGATTCAGCCCCTTGGTGCACATGTCCATCTGAGTACATCCAGTTAAATGGATTCAGCCCTTTGGTGCCCATGTACATCTGAGTACATATACTTTAATGAATTCGACCACTTACAGCCCATGTCCTTCTGAGTACATCCAGTTAAATGGATTCTGCCCTTGGTGCCCATGTCCATCTGTGTACATCCCAGTAAGACGATTCTTCCATTGGTGCCCCTGTTTATCTGTAGACATCCAGTTAAATGGATTCTGCCCTTGGTGCCCATGTCAATATTAGAGCTTGAATTAAATGGATTTTGCGCCCTGGTGCACATGTCCTTCTGAGTACTTCCGAATATTAGGATTCTCCCCTTTAGTGCCCATGTCCATCAGAGTACATATAGTTAAAAGAATTCTGCCCCTTCGTGCCCACGTCCATCTGAGAATATCCTGTTAAATGGGTTCTGCCCTTGGTGCGCATGCCCATCTGGGTACATCCCAGTAAAATGAATTCGGCCCCTTGGTGCCCATGTCAATCTGAGTACATCCAGTTATATGGATTCAGGCCCTGGGTCCCCATGTCCATCTGAGTACATCCAATTAAATGGATTCTGCCCCCTTGGTGCCTGTGTCCATCTGAGAATATCCTGTTAAATGGATTCTTCCCCTTTCTGCCCATGTCCATCTGAGTACATCCCAGTAAGATGATTTTGCCCCTTGGTGCCCATGTTTATCTGAATACAATGTGCTAAAAGGATTTTGCCCTTGGTGCCCATGTCCACTTGAGTACATCCAGTTAAATGGATTCTGCCCTAGGTGCCCATGTGCATCTGAGTACATCTTAATGAGAGGATTCAGCCACTTGGTGCCCATGTCCATCTGAATACATCCAGTTAAATGGTTCTGCCCTTGGTCCCCATGTTCATCAGAGTACATATACTTTAATGAATCCTGCCCTTTGGTTCCCATTCCATCTGAGTTCATCCCTGTTAGATTATTCTGCCCCTTGTTGACCCTGTCCATCT